CTCTCTCTCTCTCTCTCTCTCTCTCTCTCTCTCTCTCTCTCTCTCTCTCTCTCTCTCTCTCTCTCTCTCTCTCTCTCTTGCGCGCGCGCGCGAGCACACCCGTGTGTGCGCACTCATTGTGTGTGTGTGCTTTCTCGCTCTGGGTCAAGCATTACCAGACTCTGTGGGAAATCTTTTTGCATGATGATTTTGTATCCAAGCTCGATTCATTTGCAACTAGGGAGCAGCCCTTGTCCAACTGATGTCATGCTTCTGGTATCTTTGCCTCCAAACCCTGAACCCTAAGCCTGTGGGTCTCACTGTTGTCAACCCACCCAGCCTTGCTTCCGTTGTTCCCCTTGTGTGTATTCCTCCGTCCATTCCACATTGTTTTTCCTTTTCTGTAGGGGGTGTTCGATGGGGTACTATTCATATCCCTAGCAGTCTGCTGTGTTTTTGTATTACTTCTTGCGACTAGCCCTTGAACAGGTGACGGCAACCATTTTCTCCTTTTTTGTGGGAGTTCTTCACAAATGACCTCCAGTTTTCCTGCACAATTCGTTTTGTTTTTAATACTTTTTATGCTTTTGATCACCTTGAAGAATGTTGCGTGACATTGCTTCAATGTTGGTGGGTTTTTAACTTTTTCAAGGTCACATGCTCAGAGAGAGAGAGAGAGAGAGAGAGCTGGCATGTGATGCTGCGGTCCCTGCGCTCTACTGTCCTCCCCCGAACACAACGCGCTCTGAGAGCAAATGTATACAAGCTACCAACTGGCCAAGCTCAGTTGGCATACCCCTGAACTGTTGAAATATAGACCTGCGTTCGAACTCTGCCAGATGCAGATGAGTAAAATACTACAATTCTGAATTACCTAGGGCCGGTCAGTTGGATGATGATTTGGCTGTTGCCCTTTTTAAGGAGAAAAAAAAGAAAGTATACAAAGAGAAAAAAAAGAAAGTATACAAACTATCTTTCCGGTCCAGTTAGCCAAAATGAGGGTGCGTTGTGTTTGGGGGATGATGGTAGTGTGGACTCACTGTGCAGAGAGAAGAGAGAGAGAGAGAGAGAGAGAGAGAGACAACCGGCAGGTGTGTTCACTGGGCAATTGACCAGATTTGAACGCATCTGYAATAATTGGCAGGACTTCCGAACTGCAGCGACAACACTCACTCGTCGCATGCTTTCTCGTGGCCATTCCCCACCAACCCTCGCTAAAGGATGGACCTGCTACACACGCTCCCGCCAACGTCGCTATCCTACACATGTCACCCGTCTCTCTCAGTGGTTCCGACGCATGCTGCGATGGTCCTTGCATCACC